CCCCCCCCCCAAAGCTGCAGAGCAGGGATCAACCTTCCTGCACTGCCCCATAGATCTCCCATTAGTCTAGGGTGGATATGAAAACAACCCCCCTCAATCAGGGGGTCCCCTACCCCCGGACCGTGGACCGGCATCGGTACACAGCATGCCAGCAACCTGATCATTCTGATTCAGAATGTTCTGTCCTCGGAGAGATGCAAAATCTCAGTTCTAAATTTTAATTTCCATTCTCAGTCCTTGTAGAAAAAGGCTAGGGTGTGGATAAAGGAGGATCTGGCATATTCTAGGCCAGGGGTCCCCAACCTCCCGGTCCGTGGACCAGCACCGGTCCATGGCATGCCAGCAACCGGGCCGCACAAACAAGCGAAGTCTGATCCGCAGGATGCAGGCAGCATGAAAAATCAGCCCCCCTTTGGTCCACGGAAAAGCCAGTCTCTAAGGAACCAGTCCCTGGCACCTAACTTAAATGGGCTAGATATTATTCTGTTGGAACACTTATTGTATCCTCATAAAACAGCGTCCTTCAAAACGTAACCTATAACTTAAATATAACGTCCTGAGTTCTTCATACCTTACAATACCCGATACTTCCATCATCTGCGTGCCAAAGTATTAGATGCTCTTTTTATATATTTATATATGTATATAAATGTACTCCATGTACTCTTTGCCCTAGGCCAGGGGTCTTCAAACTTGGCCCTTTGATGACTTGTGGACTTCAACTCCCAGAACTCTGGCTGAGGAATTCTGGGAGTTGAAGTCCCCAAGTCAGCAAAGGGCCAAGTTTGAAGGCCCCTGTCTCAAAGCTTCCTGGCTGAGGAATTCTGGGAGCTGAAGTCCCCAAGTCAGCAAAGGGCCAAGTTTGAAGGCCCCTGTCTCAAAGCATCCCTGGCTGAGGAATTCTGGGAGTCCACAAGTCCTAAAAGGGCCACGTGGGAAGGCCCCTGCCCTAGGCTAAATAAATACTTAAGAAGGGCAGGGATTCCCTGAACAACCGTGGTAAAAATGGGGCAAAACTCACAACTTGACAACTCACAGCAATTCAGGGCTCCATTGCACGTCGTAAGTCGGGGACCGCTTGTAACTTGGCGCCAGCCTTCCCCGATCGACGGGACAGGCCAAACCCAACCAGACAGGCTGGATTCTACTTTATTGTAAGGCTACCTTAAGCGGACCTCGCACGTCTGAACGCACCAATCTCCCGCTGTCTCTTTTCCAGCCTGAGAAGTTACGGCGGTTCCTTTGTGAATCTCTTTCTCTGCCCGTTATACAGCTGTGGGCTAGGCTCCCTCTTATCTGATCCTTCCCTAGGCAGCATCCTATCCCCCCACCTCCCAAGGTCAGTGCCACCCCCGGGAAGCGCTTGGCAAACAGCTTCCTGTTCCCGGCAGGAAGTCACCCTCAAGTGGCTAACCCCCACGCTTGGCCCTCCTTGGGGGTTCTGGAGGTTTCCATCCCACCCCACCCCACCGCCCGCCCGGCTTGAGGCTTCCTCCTCCATTTCTCTTCCGCTCGTGGGCTTGCTGTCGGGTATTCTTTTTCCGGGATGGTTGGGGGGGCTCCTGGCCGTGCCGGATCGACTCACCGGCCCCGCTCTTTCTTCCTTCCTTCCTTCTTTCTTCCTCCTCCTTCCGGATCCCAGGTCTCCCAGCAGCCCTTACAGCGATGTGATTGGCCTGCAGGTGGATTACTGGCTGGCTCAGGCCACGGAGAAGAGGAAGGACGGGGAGAAGAAGGACAGCAGCTCCAAAAACACCCTGAAGAGCGTCTTCCGCTCGGTCCAAGTCTCGCGGCTGCCCAACAGTGGGGAGACCCAGCCCTCGGGGACCATGGCCATGACGGTGGTCACCAAGGAGAAGAACAAGAAGGGTAGGGGATGGCGAAGGGAAGCTCCCTCCCTGCCGGGCGTAGCGGGACGGAGAGATCGGGCGGGATCTCCCCAGCTGCGGCTGCTTAGTCCTCCTGGAGGACTAGCCCCCTGCGGCGCTTGGTTCAAAGGAACCGTCTCCTGCGTTGCTTTCCAGCAGGACCGAGTTGTCCCCAACTGGGGGGGTCTCCTCTTTCTCCTTCTAGTGCCCACCATTTTCCTGAGCAAGAAACCCAAAGAGAGGGAGGTCGATTCGAAGAGTCAAATGATTGACGGCATCAGCCGGCTCATCTGCTCGGCCAAACAGCAGCAGACCATGTTAAAAGGTAAGGCCTGGGGCGGGGTGGGGGCTTTTTTTGCGGAAGGGGGGAAGAGTGGGACTCGTGACAGTCCCCTGGAGAAGGATTTCTGGGGAGAGGAGACCCCGAGCAGACCAAGGAGCACTTAAGGCAGTGAACGTTCCTCCTCCTCCTCCTCCTCCTCCTCCTCCTCCTCCTCCTCATCATCATCATCCTCCCGTCTCCTCTTTTCCCCATCCTGTGAAATGGGTTGGGCTGAAAAGTCAGCCAGCCGGTTTCCATGCCTAAGGCGGAATTAGAACTCACCACCTCCAAGTGATTGGTCCAAAGTCACCCAGCTTGCTTTGATGCCTAAGGCGGGACTAGAACTCACCGTCTCCTGGTGATTGGCCCAAAGTCACCCAGCTTGCTTTGATGCCTAAGGCGGGACTAGAACTCACCGTCTCCTGGTGATTGGCCCAAAGTTGGCCAGCCAGCTTTCATGCCTAGGGTGGGACTAGAACTCACCGTCTCCTGGCGATTGGTCCAATGTCACCCAGCTGGCTTTCCTGCCTAAGGCGGGACTAGAACTCACCGTCTCCTGGTGATTGGCCCAAAGTCAGCCAGCCGGCTTTCATGCCTTGGGCGAGACTAGAACTCCCCCCCCCCCCGACAAAGCTGGTTCTCTCAATATAAGTTGAGTTGCAGACAGGGCCGCTGACCGAACCCCCCCTCCCTCCTTTTCCTAGTTTCCATCGATGGCGTGGAATGGAGCGACATCAAGTTCTTTCAGCTGGCCGCCCAGTGGCCCACCCACGTCAAGCACTTCCCCGTGGGACTTTTTGGCACCAAGCCAGCCTGAAGAAAAAGAAAAAAAAAGAGGGGCGTCCAGACGCTTTCCCGTGCCCTCCCGGCCCCGCCGTGGCATGGTGGGCACCCCCCCTTCCATCCGAAGCATCCGCCAGCCGAGAGCTGCGCTGCGCTCAACTTCACCCGTGTCGCGTTCCTGTGTCTTGATCGGGCTTTGCTGGAGAGGGGAGGGTGGGAGGGAGGGTTAGGGAGGGGGAGGGGGTCCAAACCCCCCAATAGAGGGGGGAGTTTCATCCAGCCAAGGACCCGGCCCCCTCGTCTGCTTTTACGACGCATACCGCCACGTCGTGCCGTGGGCCTCCAGCCTCTCATCCGTGCCAGTCGAGAACCGATTCTTCTGATCACTCCAGGTCTCCCGTCCAGCCCCATCGGACCGGGATGTTCCCCCTCCCCGCCTCTTCCTTGAGCTGGCTTGGCACCGGCACGGCGCCGGAGTCTTCCGAAAGAGCCTGTCGGCCAACTCGCAGCCCGTAGAAATCTGCTTGTCCCAGTCTCCGGCTGAGCCATCCGACAATCCGGAGATGCTTTGCAAATTTGCGTCTCGTCGTTCCGGCTTTTCTAGAAGCACAACGTGGCGAAGCGGCCCGGGGGCTGCTTCGAGCCCGGCTGTTAGCTGGGGACACCCTTCTCCGTCACTCCACCAGGCCGGGGAGAACGGGAGGAAAATTCCCCCTTGTGTGAACCCTACTCTTCCTGGACTAGCTCCGCACCTCCAACCTTCCTCATCGTTGTAACTTTACTCTTCAACCACGGAAAGCGGTGGAGCTGGATCAGCCTCCCCATGGAAGGTGGGACGAGAAGGATTCTTCCCCCTATTTGGCTCAGCCTGCTCGCCCACCATCTCTCAAGAGTGTCACGAGGGACATCCCATAATACAAAGTGCAAAGACACCCCCCCCCAACTCAAACCTAACCCCTTCTCCTGCACTGGGGTTGTAAACGTGGTCACGCCGGGAAAGCCGTCCCGGCATGTGCCTCAATCCTCCCACGTTTTGTTTTGGTTTTTTTCAACAAAAGAAAACACCATCAATTAAGAATTATTATTTTTTTCCTCCCCAATGAAAGAAACACCATCAATTGTGGATTTGAAAAAAAGAAACAAACTCCGGGCGGGATTCACGTGGTCCCGAAGCCTGCTGGATTTCCTTCGTTCGAAGTCCTTGATTTTGGAAAGGAGAAAAACGGATTTTCGAAGCGAGACTGTGGCCCGCCAGCCCCGCAGATTAAAATAAGAGATCGCTCTACAACTTTAAAAGCAGAGCTCTTTCGCCTGGTGTAAACCTGAACCGATCCGGTGGGACGTCTTCGTGACCTCGATCTGATCTGTTTCTTCCCTTTTTTTATCTTTCCTTTCACACTCCTCTGAAAAGCGGAAAAAGGAGAAGCTGGAATTCCAGGGGATAAACAGATGCTATCTTTCTCCCCCCCCCCCCCTTTTGGCAAGCTCAGATCTCTTCATCCCAGTTTAATCAGCAATAAAACAAATTGTGGCCCTTTAGGGGGAGCCCTTCAATCCCCCCCACACCAGGTGGGCTTTGCCCCCAAACGGAGGGTGCCGTTTGCTGTCCATCTTTCCGACGACGTTCCCCTTGTTTTTTGTTCCCGCCCTTACGAGAGAGTTCCCCGACTTCAGTGTTGCATTAAAAGGAAAAATAATTGAGAATAAAAGGCAACCAGCCACGAGGCTTTTAAGTCCGGTTAGCAAGATCCCCTTTCAATCTTGAAGGGATCCGCCAGCCTCAGAGAGGATCTCATTTTTCTGGTTTAAGTCTCGTAGCTCTGAATTATTATTATTATTATTTATTTTTCTCTCCCTGATTTTGGCTCCTTGGGTGGGGAGTTTTCATACCTGTCTTTCCCAACACCCCTGCAGTGTGGACTTTCAGTTCCAAGAGGGCGATGCCCCCGTGCCATCCAAGGGACAGTGACAACCCCTCCCTCCAGAGCGGAGGACGTAATAATTAAGCACAATTCCGAATATTCCTGCCGCTCCAGAGAAAAACCGGGGTGACCCACTGCTTCAGTTCGGAAAGAGAAGTCCATCCTCTTGCCAAAAGCTGCCCGTTTTTGAGGGCCTCCAAGACAGACGCCAGAGAGGTCATCAAGTCTGACCCCTCGCCTGATCCAAAATATCCCAAGGTTTGGGAGTGTGGGAAGAAGACCCCGATGGAGTCCAAAGGCCCATGCTCCTGAGCCATGGATCACCCCCAAGCTGGTGCCTCAGAAGACCATCTGAACACGAGAAAGGTGAAGATCTTCTCCTGCTATGCTCTGGAGCGCAGGTCACAGGTGGGATCTGGTCCTACAGGTGAGCACGACGGAGCTCCAGGCCTCTTTTTTCCCTTTCTGCAAAAGAAGCTCAAAAAAAAATTGGGGACCCTCCCCCAAAAGACCCCTGTTTTTGGGGTGTGGCTAGCTCCTGGTTGCCCACCACGAAAACGTTTCCCCCCCTTTTGCTTCCTCACCGCCACACCAAGGCCCCCCCCCCAGTCTTGACTGTTACAGTGACTCCATGGAAGAACCCGTGGGTGTATTTCTCATATACGCTGTGTAGAATTTGCGCATCCTTGATTTGACGGTCGGAATTTTTCCACGTGGTCTGTTATCTCGGCTACTGTACATAAACATGAGTTTTTGTATATAATTTTTCTTTCTTTTTTTTGTAACTGTGCTGGTTCTCTCCCCCTCCCCCCCCATTCGTTTGGAATGCAAACCTCAAGGTTCTTTCTCCCCATCGCCCCAGTCCCCCTGCCCCCAACGATCCATATTCAGATATTTTCCGGGTTCGTATGAGTTTTATGCATTTTATTCTTCGGGGTTCACGTCTCTTTGACCACTTCCTCGTGGGTTTTTTTTTTCTTTCCTTTTTTCATTAAATAAATTGTGTTTTTTTAAAAAACAAAAACCCATCTCCAGTTGGATTCCTTTCTTAAAAGTGCTTCAAATACTGATTGATCGGATTGATTTGAGTTGGGCTGTTTTGGACTGAGAGGGGGTTGTGATTGATTGGACTGGTTGATTGACATGGGATTGATTGATTGATTGATTGATTGGATAGAGGTGGGTTGTGATTGAATTGATCAATTGTGGGTCGGGATTTTGATTGAGGTGGGTTGTGTTTGATTGAGGTGGGTTGTGATTGATGGATTGATTGATATGGGCTGTTATTGATTGATTGGATAGAGGTGGGTTGTGATGGATTGAATAGATCAATTGTGGGTCGGGATTGATTTGATTGAGGTGGGTTGTGATTGATGGATTGATTGAGGTGAGTTGTGAACTATCCAGAAAGGAGGAAGAATGCAAGAAAAACTCAGCTGAGATATAATAATAATAATAATAATAATAATAATAATAGTCGTCATCGGGGCACTGGGAACTATGTCCAAAAACTTTGCAAAATACATGAAGAAACTGCAGCTTCCTGCAATAACTCCAGCAATGTTACAAAAAACTGCGCTACTCAGAACAAATTATATTTTAAGGAGATACCTGGTTGACACCTAGGATGCTGGTAGCAACCCGTGTCAACCATCAGCGCCAGCCAATCTGAATGTTCAGTTCACTGAGGTTCATGTTTAATGAATAAAAGATAATAATAATAATAATAATAATAATAATAATAATAATAATAATGGCTCAGCTTGGAAACCTCTCCCTTTCCCCTCAGCATGGCTAGCTCAGAAATTCTGGGAGTTGAAGTCCACGAGTCATAAAAGAGCCAAGGTTGCCTACCCCTGGATTATTGGATCCATAGGACATTGACTCCCTGAACTAGCCAAGCAATAAAAAATAATTAAAATTAAATCAGACCTTAGAAGGGTGGGAGAGGTTGGGGAAAGATTTGGGAAAAAAAAACAACCTCCCCTCACCCACCCTCCAGGTGCAAATTAGGCCTTTTTTTTTTTTTTTTTTTACCGCGAGCACTCTCTTTTTCCTAATTAAAGCCAAGATTCTAGTCCTCATCGGGCACCTCGCCTTCTCCGACGTGGCAATCTCCCCCCCATATTTCCCCATGCAATACCCAACTGGGAACAAGGTTTAATTGGGGGGGGTGGCCCCTTCTGCAGCAAACCCCCCCTCGTATTTTTATTTATTTACTTATTGCAAAACTGGAGCATCTCTCAAGCATTTGAAGTTCGGCGCCTTCCCCTTTAAGAAGCGGCGCGGGCGGGGCGGGAGTGAAGAGCCGAGGAGGCGGAGCCAAGGCTGCGAGGTTATTTGTCCTCCGACGCGCTTTTTTTTTTTTTCTTCAATTCCCGCCTCCCCTTTAAGGAGGTTGTTTGGGGGCGGGGCCGCGCCGCTCGCCGGTGCCGCAAGGCCTGCCGGGAAGGGAGGAAGGCCGCCGGCTGGAGGGAGCGGCGGCGGTTGGGAGCCGCACCGGTCGAGCCAGGGCTGCGCGCGCAGGTAGGCGGGCGAGGCGGGGGGGGTCTCTTTCTCCTTCTCCCCCCACCCCTCTATCTCCCCCCCCCATGATGAGAAAGGGCTTCCCTTGCCCCCATCAGGCTGACCCCCCCCACTTAAAAGAGGGGGTCTTCCTTGGGGGGGGGGGTTGGTGAGGGTCCCAAAAGGGGTGGGGGGGTTAGTTGGAGGGGGAGAAAGACTCCCCCAGCACCCCCACTCTCCCCAAGGGGAGTGGGGCTCAGGAAGGGGGTGGAGGCAGCCCCCTCCCCAATTGGAGGAGGGGGTGCTTGGGAAGGGTATCTCCCCCTTCAGGGAAGCCCAAATAAGGGGGGGTAGGTAGCTCTTGACAGCCCCCCCTTCTTAGCCCCTCTCCTGTGGGGCAGAGGATGGGGGGGGCTTCACCTTCCAGGGTCACCTGGAATGGGAGGGGGGAGAGAAAAAGGGAGAGGGGTAAGGGAGAGAGACCACCCCCCCAAAAGCCCAGTTAGTTAGTTCCAAGATGTGGACAAAATGGGGGGAGGGAGAGACCCTGACTCAAAGAAGAATGACAAAAGGACTCCCCCCCCCCGCCATACCGATGAAGCTGGGTGGGGAGGGGGAGCCTTCCCAGAAAGGAATGGAGGTCCTGGGGGGTTTTCTTGGGCGGGTCTTAAATCCCTGAAAGTGAGCCTAGAGGTCACCTAGTCCTTCAGCCGAAAGCCTGGGAAACCCGGGGTCCTATGACTTGAAAAAGGGGGCAGCCTTAGTCCTGGCCTTCAGGGGGGGGTGATCCCACCCCCCAAAAAGGGGAAGCTGTCCAGATGTAACCCCCAAATGCAAAGGGCCTCTATCCATCCATCCATCCATCTATATCTCTATATCTTTATCTCTATATCTATTTATTCTATTTATCCATCTATATTTGTCTGTCTATCTATCTCTATATATCTATATCTTTATCTCTATATGTATTTATTCTATTTAGCCATCTATATCTGTCTATCTGTCTGTCTGTCTGTCTGTCTGTCTGTCTGTCTATCTATCTATCTATCTATCTATCTATCTATCTATCCTTATCTCTATCCATCCATCCATCCATCCATCCATCCATCTTCCAATTTTAGCAATGCTTTGAGGGTCAAGCAAGGCCTATACCGTATTTATTATAATAGGAGGACTTTATCGCTTGTTCTTTTCCTCGGGTCCCACCCCCCCCCCCAAAAAAATTCCTTTGCCTGCAACTAACAAGCCAGGGTTTGCTCCACAAACTCAGTTTCCTGACTTTGCACAGCATGCTTTCCATCTCGGCTGCATTTGTCCCACATGTAGGCCAGCTTTGGGGAGGGGGGGGAATTGGCGGAGGGGGCCACCGAGCGTGAGAAAAAGCAAAGGGGGTGGAGGCAAAAAGCAAAGATTACCCCCCCCAAAAAATAAAATAGGGGTTTTACGGGGACCTGGGCAAACGCTGCCCAAATCTTCCCCCTCTGGATCTGATAGATTGTGGAAAGGGATAAAAATAGATTCAGTGTCCTTTCTTCCCGTGCCGAATTAAAATTAGGAACTTTGGGCTCTCCGTGGGCCCATCGTCCCCAGCCACCAGCCCTGCGGCAAAGCCTTATGGGAACTGCGATCCCCAACACCAACAGAGGAAGCTTGCTTTAACTTTTGCTATTAAAAAAAAACACCAGGACAGCTGTTAAAAAGACGAAGAAGCTAATAATAATAATAATTTTAAAAAAAGGAATATTTCCCCTCCACCCCTTGGAAAAAAAATCTTACAAATTTTAAGCTGAATCACCCATGAAGCTGATTTTTATTTTCCTAGATATTCTGGGATGATAAATATCTCCCTTTGCCCCGCTGATTAGATTTTTCGGTGGGTGTGTTTCCAATTACTTTCTGCCGAGCTGGAAAATGCACAAATCAAATCAGGTGCCACCTGGGTTCATTCGGCCCTCTCAACCGGTTTGGATGAATTCTGGTTTATTGACCAAAAGGACCACGCCTGGATTAACATTGCCTTCACCCGCGTGACATGATGGCATGGCCTATTTTTGGAAATTCGGCTGTTGCATTTGAGGATCGCTTTGCCTCTTCCTCCTTCCTGCAAGCTTTGTCAGAAAGAAAGAAAAAAAAAACCCAAAACAAAACTCGATTTTCCTGATGATGACAGGCAGTCATCCAGCCGGTGGAGCGAAATTCCTC